GGTTGTGGGCGGGTCGCAGGTGGGACGCGGGTTGAGTCGCGGGTGGTTCGTGGGTGGGTCGCGGGCGGGTCACAGGGCGGGTCGCGGGTGGGTCGCGGGCGGGTCGCGAGGAGAACGACGCAACGAAACAAACAGAGCCTTCGCCGTTGACCCCCACTGCAGCCACGCACCCAGGGACAGTGCATGAGACCGTTCGGCCCTCTCACTTTGATATATGTAAATCTATGTTTACATCGACGAAAACATATATGTATACACATACACACATATACATACATACGTACATACACACAAATACCAGTGCGTATAAAGTGATATATGTATATGTATATATATATATATATATATATATATATATATATATATATTGAGAGAGAGAGAGAGAGATGCATGGGGATGCCCAGTGTTGTACCTGGCCGTTGTGGACCTGAGCCCAAAACCGCCCAAACGCGTGCCAAAATAATCCAACATGGTTTCTCAATTCAAGATGGTTTCATGACGGCCAAGATGCCCCCAAATGGAGTCCCACGAGGCCCCCAGGAGGCGATATTCACATGTTTCCGGGGATTGCGCGGTTGTTTCTCGTATTCTACGTTTTTCAGGCCTCCGACGGGCCACGCCAGCCAAAGAGGCCCCAGAAATTGGCCAAAGAAAGCCCCGACGGCCCCCACACAGGGCCCCAGGACTGCCCAAGAGAGTCCCGGAACGACCTCAAGGCGCTCCAAGACGGCTCCAAGAAGGTCCAGAACGCCCCACGTGGCTTCAAGAAAACTCCAAGATGGCCCCAAGAGCTCCTAGGGGGCCCCAACAGGCCGCCAAGACAGCCACAATTATCCGTAAGGGCTTCGCCCCCTGCCGCCGGCCCCCCCTCTCTCGGAGAATGGGCCATGGAAGAGCTAAGTCATGAGGCCTTGGCGCTGTCGTGAAGCAGTATCGAAACTTCATGCGAAGCCGATTCGCAATCAGCAAAACCAACTGATCACAAGAGGGGTTACCACACCTGGCGATTGGTAAGACGTGTATGGTTTACGGGCTTGGTTACCACACCTTGCGATTAAAGGGCCGAGGGAGTTCTCGCAGTTTGGGTTACCACGCCTTGCGATGGATGTGCGTGAAGGGTGGCACCGAATTTCAGAAATGTGGCAAATCCCCTGTGTTTTTGGACCCTGACCCCGCGGATCTGCGTGAGGGGTGGCACCGAATTTCAGAAATGTGGCAAATCCCCTGTGTTTTTGGACCCTGACCCCGCGGATCTGCGTGAGGGGTGGCACCGAATTTCAGAAATGTGGCAAATCCCTTGTGTTTTTGGACCCTGACCCCGCGGATCTGCGTGAGGGGTGGCACCGAATTTCAGAAATGTGGCAAATCCCATGTGTTTTTGGACCCTGACCCCGCGGATCTGCGTGAGGGGTGGCACCGAATTTCAGAAATGTGGCAAATCCCCTGTGTTTTTGGACCCTGACCCCGCGGATCTGCGTGAGGGGTGGCACCGAATTTCAGAAATGTGGCAAATCCCATGTGTTTTTGGACCCTGACCCCGCGGATCTGCGTGAAGGGTGGCACCGAATTTCAGAAATGTGGCAAATCCCATGTGTTTTTGGACCCTGACCCCGCGGATCTGCGTGAGGGGTGGCACCGAATTTCAGAAATGTGGCAAATCCCCTGTGTTTTTGGACCCTGACCCCGCGGATCTGCGTGAGGGGTGGCACCGAATTTCAGAAATGTGGCAAATCCCCTGTGTTTTTGGACCCTGACCCCGCGGATCTGCGTGAGGGGTGTCGATTTCGAGCCCCCCAGCAATTCAGACAACGCGCCCAGGGGATGCTAAAAAGCCGGTTTGGGCCTCCCCCCCCCTCGCGCGGTCAATCAACTAGTTACAGTAACCAGCAATAAGTCAACTAGTTACAGTAACCAGCAAGAAGCAGAACTGTAAAACTGGAAACTATAACCTACGACTGGTACAGGAAACTGCGAATCACGGGCCTACAGCCTGGTGGCCCCACAAGGGGGCCGGCGGATTTAAGACGCTTCGGGAAAGGGTCCCAGGACGGCCCGGGAGGGTGTGAAGTGGCTCAAAAAGGCCCCAAAGGGACATCCAAACCATGCCCGGAGGCGCTACATGCATCACGTAACGACTTCCGAACGCTGAGGATTCTGACTGCGGACGGTTGTGCGAGGTCGAGACGACACAAATAGATTCCCGAGACGCCGAAAGGACGGTTTCAAGGCGGTCCAATTGTTGCTTTAATTGTTATTGATGCGTTTGCTTCTTCATCACCCTGCCCGTCTTCGTCCTCCACATCCTCGGACAAAAAACTCGTTTCGAAATGCGTCCAGCCGCGGCGACGACGAGAGCCCCCGAAGGCAAAACAATTTCTGACTTCGATCCTCGTGGTACGAGTCTCGCCTTCCTCCAAAACATCGTGCGACACCCTGTTCCTTTCTCTCCTCGCCTTCCTCGCCCTCCTCCCTATACTAGTTAATCCTCTCTCTTTTCGCCCTTCTCGCCCTCGTCGCCGTCCTCCTCCTCCTCCTCCTCCTCCTCCTCCTCCTCCTCCTCCTCCTCTCCTCCTCCTCCTCCTCCTCCTCCTCCTCCTCGCCCCTCTTTCTCCCCTCCTCCCTCCCCCTCCTCCTCCCTCGCCTTCTCTTCAGCCTTCCCCTCGAATCCTCCTCCTCCTCCTCCTCCTCCTCCTCCTCCTCCTCCTCCTCCTCCTCCTCTCCCCCTCGCCTTCTCTTCAGCCTCCCCTCGACATCCATCTCCTCTCCTCCTCCTCTCCTCCTCCTCCTCCTCCTCCTCTCCCTCCCTTCTCTCAGCCTCTCCCTCGACATACTCCTCCTCCTCCTCCTCCTCCTCCTCCTCCTCCTCCGCCTCCTCCCTCCTCTCCCTCCTCCCTCCCTCTCTCGCCTTCCCTTCCCTCCCTCCCTCCCTCCCTCCCTCCTTCCCTCCTCGACCTGCTGCTCTTCCTCCCCGCTGCGCGGGCCCCGTCTGGGCAGCCTCCCTCTTGGCGCCCGTGGGGGCTGGTCGCCGACGCTCGCGGGCTTGCGCGTCGTCGTCGCCGTCGTCGTCGTCGTCGTCGTCGTCGTCGTCGTCGTCGTCGTCCTCGTCGTCGTCGTCCTCGTCGTCGTCGTCGTCGTCCTCGTCGTCCTCGTCGTCGTCGTCCTCGTCGTCCTCGTCGTCGTCGTCGTTATCGTCGTCGTCGTCGTCGTCGTCCCCTCGGGCCTCGAGGGTCGATTGTCGGGAGTCGTGCCTCGGCTCCGGGCGCCCGCGGCCGTTCCTGTCCCGAGGCGCCTCCTCGGCTGCCTCGGCGGCCCGTGGCGGCCTCTCCGGGGGCCGAGGCTCACGGACATCTCGGCTGCGAAATCTGCCCCGAAGAGTATCGCGCTTGGGCCAAATCTGCCCCAATGCTTACAGTCAGGACGCCGAAAGAAGGAGCAGTTTGGCTGCGGAAGGGGCTCGAGGTTCCTCAGGTTCCTCCAGCGATGTTCCGCTTTTCCTCCGGGGGCACGGAGGCGCTTACAGGGCCAAGAAGGGGCTTCGTTCCTTGTTTAGGGTTCCTTCTTTCAGCGGCCCGACTGTAAGTCGGGCGTGTTAGACAATGCAGATGATAGACACACAATGCAAAAGATGCGACTGTTAGTATAGAGGTTGCAGAGGATAGTACAGAATTGGCATTAAAGGCGCAAACCACCTACCGTCCTCAAGGAGAGAACACGAGGAGTGGAGGAGAAGAAGAGAAGACAACAATGAACGTGACAAGCAAATCGGATATGAAGAAGAAGAGGTGAGGAGAAGAAGAGGAGAGGATGGGGAGAAGAAGGGATGATGAACAGAGGAAGAGGAGAAGAGGATGATATTAATGGAAAGCAGGGGGAGGAGGAGGAGGCGAGGAGGAGGAGGAGTTGAACGAGGAGTGGAGGAGTGAAGATGAGAGGTGGCGTGTAAGAGCAAGCGAAGATAAGGTGAGGAAGAGAAGTGAGAGAGGAGGATATTAGGAGAGGAGTCGAGGAGAAGAGGGAAGGAACATGTGAAGAAGAGGAAGGGAAGTGGTGAAGAGAGGACGAGGAGAGGAAGAGGAATAGAGGAATAGAGAAATGGAGAAGAGGAGTAGGCGAAGGAGGAGAAGAGAAAGAGCAGAAACAGAGGAGAGGAATGTGTCAGGAGAGAAAGGGGAGAGGAAGAGAGTACGAGGAGAAGGAGAGGAGGTGGGGAAGAGAGAGAGAGAGTAGAGAAGAGAAGAGAAAGAGGAACCTGTATGCAATCAAGAGGAGAGGCAGAGGGGAAGAGAAGGCAACAAGAGATGAGACAACACGTGTGTGCTACCCTCTGGGTCACAACATGCTTCAAGAAACGTGTTGTGACCCACTCTCCTGCTATTTGATTACCGTGCAGGAAATCTGGGAAGGAGAGTGGAAGAGGAAATCCTGGAGACAACACTGAAATCCGAGATGTCATTGATTTTGTCTTGTTCTGTTGTGTACCAGTGGGTCCCTTGATCCATGCAGCTGCATCTATAAGGCTCGACACTTCCGCTTTTTGTTGGTCGAAGGCTGTACGTCAACGACTTCTCGTGTTCTTTCGCTTTCATTGCTCCGAGTTCGTCGCCTCTGGGTGATGGTCTCTGACATACTGTATTCCCTTGCCAATTTGCTTACCAGCTACGTCTTGAAGGCTTCTCTTGTTTGGAGTCGTGAAGCTGTCTCGTCATCGGTGGGTCATATGAAAAGACCTTCCTTTTGGTCATGCTATTTTTGCTACGAGGCCTCCCACAGTTTATCAGATGGCATTTCTAGCTGACTTGCGGCGTGTTATGACCTGGGGGTCAGCTAATCTTGTTCATCATCGAGCACAACCATCTACGATTGCATGTAAGACGAATTCATGTCGCAAGCATTCTTTACAGGAGACTGGTTCGGGCCAAGTATCCTGATGTGATTGTCCGTAGCAATTTGGGCTTGGGATTCAATTTGTTCGCCCCAACGGGACTGCAGATTCCGCAGCCATGGTTGCATCGATGCGTCCAAGGCAGGTGGTCGTCCTCCTCCTGCACTGCGGGCTACGCATCGCCGCCGTCCACCATAACCATAGCACTAAGGTGCTCACCGATGCCCAGACCTGTCCGGGAGCCATCAACATTAGCGGCTACGGCAGCATTGAAATGGTGGCGACGAAGTGGAACATGAAGGGCGACCCCGCGGCCAAAGTCTCCGTCGCGAATGGCCAGGTTGTGCCGCATTTGAAGGGAAGGGCGTACTTTGGCGAGTCGTGCAAACACGGCGTCTTTAGCAACGAGAACTATGTTGCCATGAAGCTGCTTGGTAAGACGCTGGCCTTCATGACTGATTTGTCCCAGCTCGGATGCGGCTGCAATGCTGCCTTCTACCTGACTAACTTGAGGCAAAACACAAACGCTTCAACCTGTGAAGACTATTATTGCGACGCCAATGCGGTATGTGGTGTCAGGTGCGCTGAGATGGACATCATGGAGGCCAACAGCGTCGCCTTCCACGCCACACCGCATACTGCCGACGACGGTAGCGGTGTTGCCGAGGGCTATGGCGGCGGCGGTGATGAATGGAGCGGCCCTCGACAGTGGTCGCCGGAAGAGTACGGGCCGGAGGCGAAGTGCATCAACACGATGCTGCCTTTTCAGGTGGCCGCCTCCTTCCCCGTCTTCGAGCAACGGGGCACCCTGGCCGCGATGGTTGTGACCCTGTCGCAGGGCTCCTGCAATCTTAGCGTCGCCATATCCACGTATCAGCTGAATCGAGGAGGCAAGGATGTCTCCGTGATGGATGAGGTGACCCAGGCCCTCGCCGAAGGCATGACCCCCATCGTCAGCTTCTGGCAGGCGGACGACATGCTGTGGCTGGACGGCAAGGGCTTAGACGGCAAGGGGCCGTGCGTGAAGGACCTTGAGAAGCCCTGCCCCGCGAATGTCTCCATGCACAGCTTCCTGCTCGAGCCCACGGCTTCTTGGCCCGAGCCCTCCAGCGGGAACAGTGTGTTCTACATCGTGGTGGTCGTAGTAGCTCTGTCGGCCATCGGAGGGGCGGCCGTGTACTGCGTCAAGTGCGGTAGCAGAAACGAGCACGGGCTGCTGAGCGGCAGTGAGTGAAGAGCTGTCCAGCGCGGGTGCCCTGCCTACTCATGTTTTAGGCCTCCATCCCAGCGCTTGGCTTAAATGCGAGTGCGATGCTTGGCTTAGATGCGTTGCGCGACCAATTTCAGTGTGCGTCTAAGCGTCAGTTTTGATCCACCATGGCTGCATGCATGCGCGGGATTAGAATTTGGAAGCCGCAATGCACCCGCGTGATGGGCACACGCGTGGAATTCTTCAAATCTCTAGACAGGTGTCTTTCCGGCTTCTCCGGCTCGAATCGAACCGATTTCCCAGGCTGCTGCTTCGACCCGACTCGATCCAGAGATTTCGATTTGCGATTCCGATTTCGAGTTCACCCGATCCGACTCCTGCCGATTCGATGTGGCAACCGGCTTCTGCCGATTTCCTGCCGATCCGGCTTCGCTCCGGCTCTTGATTGGGGCAGAAAAGGAGGGGAGGAGGAGAAGGAGGAGGAAAAGGAGAGGGAGGAGGAGGGGGATGAGGGAGAGGAAGCGACGGCGACGACGACGACGACGACGACGAACCCCCCTGGAGCGTCATCAGAGAATGGATGGATTTGGTTTCTGTTCGGGATTCGGTTTTCTGCTATGTCTGGGGCCAAAGAGGCCCGGCGGACAACGACGACGACGACGACGAGGGCGACGAGGACGAGGGGGAGGAGGAAGAAGACGACGACGAGGGGGCGGAGGGCCAGCACCCCCATCCGTCCTCTCGGCCCGAGCCAGGAGCAAGGGCAGAAGGAAGACACGCACCGGAGTCACAGTGGAGCCACAGTGGCACAGTCTTTGTGTCAACCAGGGTTTAAAGGGTCATCTTGGGACGATCATCCTCCTCATCCTCCTCCCTCCTCCTCCCCCTCCCCCCTCCCCATTCCCTCTCCTCCTCCTCCTCCTATTCCTCCTCCTCCTCCTCCTCCTCCTCCTCCTCCTCCTCCTCCTCCTCCTCCTCCTCCTCCTCTCTCTCCTCTCTCTCCTCTCTCTCCTCCTCCTCCTCCTCCTCCTCCTCCTCCCCCTCCTCCTCCTGCTCCTCCTCCTCCTCCTCCCCGGAGTAACATCGGGGTCGCGCGGTAGCCCCAGTTCCGTCGGGAGACAACGGGGGTTCGTCTCGGTGTCCTCTCTGGGGCCGCAGGGCCGCCCTGGGGCCACGTTTGGGGCCACTGCTTGGCAGGGGTGGGCATCTTGGGGCGGCAGGGGTAATATCTCAGGAGGGGAAAAAAACACACAGACACAATTAATCGTCGACCCCCAGGAAAATATGGGAAAATATGGGAAATGGGGGGGAAGACAAAAACCCAGAAAATATATGAAAATATGGGGGATATTTTTATTTGTGTGTATTTATTCAATCGCTTCGCTCATTCCGCCGGCCCATGTTGCATGATCGCTACTGCTTCGCCGTGGGCCCGGGGCCATTGTGGCGCCGCCGAGGAGGAAGAAGATGAGGATGGGGAAGGGGAGGGGAGGAGGAGGAGAGGATGAGAAGGAGATGAGGAGGATGAAGATAAGTAGGAGGAGGAGGAGGAAGAGGAAGGGGCGGAGGAGGAAGCCTCTCGTTGGCATCTTGTGTTGCTCTTGGGGCCAAACAGGGTCGTCGTCAAGATGCTTCTCTGGGAGGCCTCTTGGGGTCTTTTCAGAAGCCGTTCGAGGGCGCCTGGGAGGCATTTTTGAAGTCTTCTGGGGGGCCTCCTGGGGGCCTCCTGGGACCTCTTGGGGGCCTCTTGGCGGCATCTTGGGGCCTCTTTGGGGCCTCTCGGGGCCTCCTGGGGCCCTCTTGGGGCGGAAGGCTCGAGGTTTTGGTTCGTGGTCCCCCTCTTGGGCCCCTCTTGGGGCCGTCTTGGGGCCGTCTTGGGCCGTCTTGGGCGCCTCTTGGGTCGTCTCGGGGCCCTCTTGGGCCCGCTTGGGGCCCTCGTGGAAGCCTCTTGGCCCGTCTTTGGGTGCTCTTGGGGGCCTCCTGGGCCGTCTTGGAGCATCGGATAGCCGAAAAGGGGACAAGGCCCAAATTCTTTCAAAACCATCGTAAAATGTCTGATTTGGGCCTCTCAGGGCCCTCTTGTGAGGCCTCTTGGAGGCCACTTGGAGGCCTCTTGGGCCGTCTTGAGGTCATCATCGGCGTCTTGGAGCGCTCTTTAGGCGTCTCGGGGGCCCTTTGGGCAGTCTTGGGGGCCTCTTGGGGCACTCTTGGCGCGCTCTGGGGGGCCTGAGAAGCCACACCCAGGAGGAAAACCATCTCTGAGTAGCAGTGGTCGGGCGGCGGTCGGGGTACTTTTCGCCGGGGGACCCCCAGGGGCCGCCCCGCGCGCGCGAACTAGAAGTATTGTTTAGCAGTTACCGGAGATCTTAGCACGCCTTTGGCCCGTTGGGCCGGCGAATTTGTGTGTCCCAGTTTCCCTTCAGTAATATCGTGACCCTTTCAAGGGTCCACCTTGGAATCATGCTTCCGTTGCTGCCTCTCGTTGTTGTTGCTGCAGGTGTTGCTGTTGCTGCTGGCGTTGGTGCCGCTGGTGCTGCCAGGGCTGCGCGTGGTGATGGTGCTGGTGCTGTGTTAAGTTGCGGGCCCCCTTGGAGCCATCTTGGGGTCCTCCTGGGCATCTTGGGACCCTGCTGGAGCCCTCTGAGGCCCCTTGAGAGGCCTCCGAGAGGGCCAATCATTCAACATACATGTAACACAAATCGCCTCCTTGTTGGGGAGCGTCTTGTGTTAAAATAGTGTGAACATGTTGGGCCCTCACGGAGCCATCTTGGAGCCTTTGGGGCCCTCTTGGGGCCCTGCGGGAGCCATCTTAGGGCCCTAAACGGCTTCCAAGAGGGCCACGAATTCAATGCACATTCAAGACAAAACGCATCCTTATTGGAGGGCGTCTTGTATTAAATTGAGATTGAATTTCGGGCCCTCTTAGAAAGCCCCAAGAAGGCCTAAGAGAGACTCAATAAGGCACCAAAATATGTTTTTGTTGGTAAGCTTCCACGCGGGGGGGTCACCATGTATCCGCTGTTTGTACACATGCTTGCTCTTGCGGGGCTCGGCTTGAGATTCGGACGGCCTTGAGGAGGTTTCCACCCTGAGGTATCCCATGACTTCGCGTGAGCTTCGAGTGCGATTGTGCTGCTCCAAGAAAGCTCCGAGACGGCCCCAGAGCGCTCCCAGACGCTCACAATGGCTTCAAGACGGCCACAGAAACCCTGCAGACGCCCCCACGGGGCTCCAAGAGGACCTCCCAGGAGCTCCAAGAGGCCAAAACCAGAGTTGCTAAATTGTGTTTGAATGTCGACGTTCTCGTTTTTACAGGGGTCCAACGCTCCAAGACGGCCCAAGAGGCCACCAGGATCGCCCCAACACGGCCCAAGAGGCCCTCGAAGAGAGCCCCAAAACGACGCACGAGGGCACCACGACGACCCATGATGCCCACAATGCGGCCCATGAGGCCCCCAGGACGGCCCCAAGAGGGGACCCAGGGGGCCACCGGAACTCACGTTGCGAGATTTTGCCCATCAGGATCGCCTCTTGTGAAGCGGCGTGGGGGCATGCGGAGTTCCTTCGGCGCCGGGGTCACCATATATCCGAACATTAGACGAATTCGCACATCTCTGGGACGATCGCGGAACTTCTTGGGAGCCCTTTCGGGAGCATTTTGGGGGTCTGCTGGGGGTTTCTTGGGGCGTGATAGGGACCGCTTGGGCGCCTCCTGAGGTATGTTGAGATTTCTTGGGGGCTTCTGAGGGCGTCTTGGGGGGCCCTTTGGGGGCCTCTTGGGGGCCTGCTGGCCCCAAGAGGGCCCCGAGAAGACTCCAAGAGGGTCCCGAAAATCTCCGGGTCACCTGGAAATGCTGCAAAACCATTTTTGGGTGACCCGGAGACCTCTCGGGGCCCTCCTGGAGCAGTCGCCGTCGCCGCGCCTCTACCTCTCACGATCGCTCTTAGACTCACTCTATACCATACGTAGCAACCCGCACTTGCGGATAAGGGTGAGGGGGCGGAGGCGCGGGCGAAGCCACCCACCACCCACCCACCACACACCCACCACCCACCCAACGCCCACCACCCAACCACCACCCACCCACCACGCCCGCCACCCACCCGCCACCTACCCGCCACCAACCCACCACCCATCCACCACCCACCCACCACCCACCCACCACCACCCACCCACCCACCCACCACCCACCACCCACCACCACCCACCCACCACCCACACCACACACCACACCACCACCCACCACCACCACCCACCCACCCACCCACACCCACCACCACCCACCACACCCACGATGAGGTTCCAGAATATGCGCCGCCGCGCAAACCTGGAACAACTGTTCCTTGGGGCGGCTGATGGTCATTTGTAATGCTTATCAATCGTTCCGAATCCGAATCCGAATCCCCCACGCTCCCCTACGCCCCCCTACGCCCGCCTGCGACGACGACGACGACGACGACGGTCCCCCTACGTTCCCCTACGCTCCTCCACGCCCCCCCATACGCCCTCCCCCCCCAGCTCCCCATGCGCTCCTCGCGGGTGGGGACGCTTGTGGGACGACGACAACGACAAACAACAACACGACCAACAATGACAACACCAACATGCATCGCCGAACTTGATTTCAGCCACGCATTCAGGGACAGTGAGCAACCATTCCCCCCCCTTCATTATGATTTGTTTGCGTCAACATATATCTTTATCCCCCCACCCCCACCCACCCCCCGACGATTTCCACGTGGCCCTGGGAAATGCAATGGGAACACTGAGGAGGATGAGGTGGAGGATGATAAGGAAGAACAGTAGGAAGTGCAACCGTGGTCTCCCCGAGCGGCTTCAAAGGCTTGGTGATGAACTTCTGACCCTGGTGTCGTTGACCAGCTGTGGCATTTGACGTGTTTCGCAGGTCAGCGAACGTCTCCCCCGCCCGAGTTGCACTAAACAGATTTCGAGTGCGCCCGTAGCTCCAACGTGAGCTCGCCCCAATCAACGACCTAATGCGAGAAAGGGCGAGGACGAGGAGGAGGCGGACAACGACTGGGAGCAGGGCGAGGAGTAAGAGGAGGATGCGGAGGATGAGCGAAAGACGTTGCGTTCCTTGTAGCTTTCGAGGAGCTTGTCTGGCGTGACGGCCATGCTCGTCCTGTCCTCGTCCTTTGAGGTGGTTCCTCTTGATTGGTCTGGAACTGACGTTCTCGTCCACCTCGCGTTGGCCGCCCGCCGAGACAGTGAGCAGGACGCCATCGTCGCGAAACGTTTCGATGATGTGCACCGTGCCGTTGCCACCCTGCTTCTGGCGGGCCTTCGCCGCGAAGCCGACCTTCCTCGATTCTGCCATGCCGATGCCGCCAGCCGCCGTGAACTGCTCGATGCACGAGCCAGCGCTCCCCTCCTTCTCCTCCTCCTCCTCCTCCTCCTCATCCTCGTCTTTCTCCTCCTCCTTCTCCTCCTCCTCCTCATCCTCGTCTTTCTCCTCCTCCTCCTCCTCCTCCTCCTCCTCCTCCTCCTCCTCCTCCTCCTCCTCCTCTTGGGGCATATCGGCGCGGTGCCACGGCGACTGCTTGTCGGCCGCCGCTGGGCACGTCTCGAGGAGCTCCTGCACGAGTGCGCAGCCTGTCTCGTCAGACGTGCTCTGCTCCACATTGGTCGCGGAGGAGGCCGCTGCTGGTCGCGCGCCTACCCGCGGTCTGGCCCTGTTCACAGCCCTGCGGCTGGTGTACGGGCGTGGACCTGGACAGCGGCCGGCCTAGGCGGCGTGGGCGCTGGCGGGCCGGGGGCGGTGGCGCTGGCGGTGCGTGGCGGCGGGAGTTGTGGAGTGGAGAGGGGCGAGGGGGGCGGGAAACAAAAAACTGGAGATGCCTTCCTGCCCAAAACCGGCTTTGCCGATCTCGCCTCCGGCGCGCCCACAAGTCTCGTTCTCGCGCTGCTGGTCAACGGTAACGACAACTGGCCGACGAAGTCGTTCGCCATCTCCAGGTTGGCTCAGATTGGCGGTTGCGCCGACGACCTTCGCCTTGTTCTTCGAGGTCAGCCCTGCGATATCGCCGCCATTGACGAGCCTGGAGACCCCGTCCCTGCCGTAGCACTCTGGTGCCACCAAGGCTGCCTTAAGGAGGCTGATCACGAATTCTGGGTGGTTCTCGAGGCTCAGGTGCCCGTCCACTTGGTCAAGTCAGACAGGTGGATCTCCTCATGAGTACTTCTCCACAAACTAACACATGTCTTCCACTTCTCCCCTATCGTGCGGCTGGCGCCTTTCGACGTCTCTCGTGAAGTTTTTCCAGTCGACGTTCTTGCCCGCAATTGTGAAGTTCCTGGCCCGCTGGTAGATCTGGCGCAGCACTTGGACTTTTGATGCCACCCTATGCGTTCCTTGCTCTGCGTTTCCAGCCTCTCGCAGAAAAGTTGCAAGGTGCGGCATCTGCTTCTGGCAGTCGGCCTTGAGCACGACCCACTCGGGTCCACTCTCCATCGCCTGCTTGACGGACGGGGCCTGGCCGAAGGTGACGTCACGGCTTACTCTCCCGTCCATTGTCGGGCCCGTTTGGCAGAGCAGGCACCGCAGCAGAGCGTGTTGCGTGGCCATCTGTTACAAACACGTAGTGCGCATCCTGCTTCGAGGGCGGAGGCAGACGTGCGTCACTTCCTGCGGCCAGGGCGACGTGGAACCTGAACTGCTCTTCTCCGTCCGAGCCTGGAAGCATCTCGAAGCAGCATGCCCTCGAACACATTGCCCAGCTCCGCCCCCGCTTCTCGATCTCACTCAGGAGGTCTCCCGTTTGGCACTTCCGGCCCGATGCCGAACCTCTTGCCCAGATGGGTGAGAACACATTGTGGCAAGATGCGGAGTTTGTACGCCGTTCCGTTGGATAGCAGCGCTGCGATCACAGAGTCGGCCACGGTAATCGTCTCCTTCCCTTCATTGTCAGACAATCTGAACTTCTCGATCGTAGCGATGAGCCCCGCCACCACTTTGGAGGGATCCTTCGACATTGCAGCGCGTGTGTTCCAAAAGGCTCCCCTGGCTACCTGAACACAGAGAAACGGTTGAGCCAACAATGACCGCGGAGGAGGACGGAAGGGGGAGGAGGAGGAGAAACACGCACAGGTAAAGTCGTTGCTGGACATCCAGAAATCTGTACTGTGGTTGTAGCAAGCATGCCCTTCCCGCTGCGCAACAGGGGGCTTCGCTGAACTTAGCTAACCAGGTTAGCTGAACTTGGCTAAGCTCCGCTAAAGTGTGTAGCTAACCTCACTAAAATGGGGTTAGCTATTCTGGCTAAGTGTTTGAGGCGCCATTCGGAAGCATGCATGGAGCTCATAGCTAACCATCTCATATGATGAAGCGAAGCTGTCTCGTGTGCAATGAAGCATTCGCATGGGCGTGAAGTACTTCTGCTCGGCTGTATCCTGCTTGGCGCATATAGACCTAGATAGAGAACCACACACATCAGAGCTACAAGCATGATGCAAGCGCGTTCGAAACAGTTGTAACCAGCTGAACTACTGAGCAAAGGGCGCGGCGATCTCAGTGGGGGATCCGATCATGGTCGGAGGGGTCCGTCCACGGTCCGGCGGGGGGTCCGTGGAGGGATCGGGGGAGGGGGGTCGGCCTTCCAGGGTCCAGAGGGGGGCCTCTCCAGGGTCCGAGGTCGAGGGGCGACGTGCTCGCTTGCCAGACTCTCTGGGTCCGTGGAGAATCGGAGGGGGCCCTTGGAGGCCTGAGGGGGGCCCAACGCACGTGTTCGACGGCGTGCGGCCCCCGTGTGCAACGACGTGCGTACGACGACGTGCGACGACGACGGTCGGGAAGGAGGGGCGGATGGGACGGCCAACAACCACCTCCCCCGATTTCTTCTCTACCCTCCCGGCCTTCCGGTTTCGATTCCGGTCCGGCTTGCCGCGGTCCGGTTTCCGACTCGATCCGACGCGGCTTTGCCGGTTGCTGCCGATCTCGATTTGGCAGCCAATTTCTGTCGTCTTCTGCCGATGCGATCTTCGGGTCGATCCGATTCGACTGGTCGATTCGATGCTGGGGCCACCTGTCTCCCTGTCGGTCTCTGGGCTTTCAGTAGGCGGTGCATGCTCTTTGTGGGCACGATCCGCATGATGGGGTATGCCGCGTTGGCCAGGGGGGGCGCAGTGCGAACCCTGCCTCTGAGGCCATAGGTGGAGATCCCTGGGGGCCACGGTCTGGCGTGCCGAAGTAGACGGGAGGGCGGGATGCGAGCTTTGTTTTTCGGGCCGTCCGTGGAACCTTTTGCGGGCCACGATCCGTGTGAGAGGTGTGCCGACATGAGCGGGGCGACGCAATGAAGCTCCCCTCGGGCGCCGCAAATGCATGTACTTGCGGGGCACGATCCGCGCGAGGGGGGGGCCACTATGCGAACTGTGTCTCCGGGGACGTAGGCGGAGCTCCCTGTGGGGCGCGATCCCTGTGAGGGTTGTGCCAGCATGGGCGGGTGAACCCTAAGCCATGCCTGTGTCTGGGGCCGCAGGTGGAGCTCCCTGAGGTGCACGATCCGTGTGACTGTGGATGTTCTCCGATGCCGAACACTTCTAGACTACAATTAGAGCTTGCTCGAACCAACTATCGTGCGAAGCTCGCGTGGTTTTGGCACGTGTATAGAATGTGCATCTAGATGTGTGTATAGCATACAGATGTGTAGATATGTATAAATGTATACATACATACACACATACATACATACATACATACATACATACATACATGCATGCATGCATGCATGCATGCATGCATGCATGCATACCTACGTACGTATGTACGTACGTACGTTCGTACATACATACATACATACATACATACATACACACATACATACATACATACATTACATACATGCATGCATACATACATACATACATACATACATACATATATACATACATACATACATACATACATACATACATACATACATACATGCATACATGCATACATGCATACACGCATGCAGTAACACATACATTACATGGGGTCCAGTGCCGGAGGTCTGAAGGGCAGACTCGATATCCCCATGCCGGTGGCGGGGATCTTGGGCCTCTCCGAGACGGCCAAAGCACGTTCGGACACAGCCTCAGAGAGCCCGATGCTCACAAGACGGCCGAAAGTGCTCCCAAGAGTGCCCAAGAAGTTCTCAAAACGCCCCCGGGGAGGAGACAGGAACTAAACGCCTTCAAGCACCGAGGGACAATCGATAGCTCTGCTGATTCGTGAGGTGCCATTATGCCCCACGACTTATTGTTGTGGGGTGCCGCAGTTCGGTTGCATTGGCTGCGCAACGGCGGACTGGCCTATTTGACGCCGCAGAGAATGCTCCAGTCAATTGTTCCTCTCTCCTTGCAACCTAAGGTTAAGCGGAGTATGTCGCTATACTTCGCTGCAATAGGGCATCAGGGGTATTCCATGTTTGGATGATGCACCAACAGAGTGCTCCGGACTCTGCGGGAGACATGAGTTTGTAGCCGACATCGTTCAGGAAAAATAAGCTTGGCGAAAGACCCAACCATCTGCAGTTGTGGGTGCTGCCGTTGTATGCGCTGCATTCGGTGGAGCTCCCTGTTGGGGCCACGCAACGTGTGAAGGTGTGCCAAAATGGATGCGGTGGGCGAATGCGAGCGCTGGCATTTGGGCCTTCGGTGGAGTTTCCCATGGGGCGACGAAACGTGTGAGGGGTGTCCCATCATGGGCGCGGTGGGCGCATGCGAGCGCTGGCATGTAGGCCTTCGGTGGAGCTCCCTATGGGGCCACAAAGCGTGTGATGGGTGTGCCAACTTGGGTGCGGTGTGCGCATGCGAGCGCTGGCATCTGGGCCTTCGGTGTGGCTCCCTTTGGGGCCACAAAACGTGTGAGGGCTGTGCCACAACGGATGCGGTGGGCGAATGCGAGCGCTGGCATGTGGGCCTTCGGTGGGGCTCCTTATGGGGCCACGAAGCGTGTGAGTGGCGTCCCAAGAAGGGTGCGGTGGGCGCATGCGAGCGCTGGCACCTAGGCCTTCGGTGGAGCTCCCTGTGGCCTATGGGGCCTCAAAACGTATGAGGGGTATGCCAAGCTGGATGCGGTGGGCGAATGCGAGCGCTTGCATCTGAGCCTGTGGTGGAGCTCCCTATGATGCCACAAACACTTGTGAAGGGTGTGCCAAAATGGGGGCGGTGGGCGCATGTGATCGCTGGCATATGGGCCTTCGGTGGGGCTCCTTATGGGGCCACGAAACGTGTGATGGGTGTGCCAAAGTGGGGGAGGGAGGGGGAGGATGGGAGGGGGGACAAGGGAGGAGCGGGAGGAGGAGTGAGGACGCAGGGCGTTGTCTTTTCAACACGAACCCAACAACACAGGATGGTCGGGGAAAAAGAGGCTCCAAGAGGCGTCACAGACGCCCCCAAGAGGCCCCCATGATGCTCCAAGAGGCTCCCAAGACGCCCCCCAAGGGACCCCCAAGAAGCCCCCACAGTTCCCACCAGAGGCCCGCGAGGCGGCCTCGAGGCGCTCGAGATTGCCGAATCTGCTCGCAAGAGCGCCCGAGGCGCCAGAGGAGCTAAACTCCCTCCAGCACCAAAGGCAAACCAGTGTGTGTGTGTGTGTGTTTGCATGTTTCCCAACCCTCCTGCGTTGGGTGCTCGTTTTGACTAGAGCATTGTGGTATCCGTCCTCCCGCCCCCCTCCTTCCCTTCTTCTTCCTCCTCTCTTCGCCCCTCCTCTTCCCTCGCTGCGGGTGCGCTAGCCTGCCTCTTGCCTGGGAGGCGTACTGGGGGCTGCGATCGGTGAGTATGTCGGCACGTTCGAGGGCTGCTGGGGGGGGCAGCACAGTGGGCACTCGCCGCAGGCTCGGATTAGACCTCGCCATCCCTGGGAGGGCTGCGATCTGCGAAACTGCCGCCACTTTAAGGGGCTGCGGGGGTGCGGGGGGGGGGCAGCAAAGTGGGTACTCGCCGCAGGCTCACGCCGTCCCTGGGGGCTGTGATCTGCGAATATGTCGCCACTTTCGAGGGCTGTCAGGGGGGGGGGGGAGCATAGTGGGCACTCGCCGCAGGCTCAGATTGGACCTCGCCATCCCTGGGGAGCTGCGATCTGCGAATATGTCACCACTTTCGAGGGCTGTTGGGGGGGGGGGCAGCATATTGGGTGCTTGCCGCAGGCCCAGATTAGACCTCACCATCCTCCGGGTGGGGGGGGGCTGCGATCTGTGAACTTGTCGCCACGTTCGAGGGCTGCTGGGGGGCTAGCAAAGTGGGTACTCGCCGCAGGCTCAGATTAGACCTCGCCATCCTTGGGGCGCTGCGATCTGCGAAACTGTCGCCAATGTTGGGGGCTGCTGGGGGGGGCGCATAGTGGGTACTCGCTGCAGACTCACGCCATCCCTGGGGGCTGCGATCTGTGAATATGTCGCCACTTTCGATGGCTGCTGAGGGGGGCAAACCAGTGGGTATCCGCCGCAGACTCAGATTAGACCTCGCCATCCTTGGGGGGCTGCGATCTGCGAATCTGTCTCCACGGTCGAGGGCTGCTGGGGGGGGCAGCATAGTGGGTACTCGCCGCAGGCTCAGATTAGACCTCGCCATTCCTGGGGGGCTGCGATTTGCGAATATGTAACCGCTTTCGAGGGCTGCTTAGGGGGTCAGCATAGTGGGTGCTTGCCGCAGGCCCAGATTAGACCTCGCCATCTTTGGGGGGGGGGGTGCTGCGATCTGTGAAATTGTCGCCACGTTCGAGGGCTGCTGGGGGGCTAGCATAGTGGGCACTCGCCGCAGACCCAGATTAGACCTCGCCATCCTTGGGGCGCTGCGGTCTGCGAAACTGTCGCCACTGTTGGGGGCTGCTGGGGGGGGGGCGCATAGTGGGTACTCGCTGCAGACTCACGCCATCCCTGGGGGGCTGCGATCTGTGATTATGTCGCCACGTTGGTGAGGGGGGGGGGGGGGGGGGCAAAACCGTGGGTATCCGCCGCAGGCTCAGATTAGACCTCGCCATCCTTGGGGGGCTGCGATCTGCGAATCTGTCGCCACGTTCGAGGGCTGCTGGGGGGGGGGGGGGCAGCGTGGTGGGCATTCGCCGCAGACTCAGATTAGACCTCGCCATCTCTGGGGGGCTGCGATCTGTAGAACTAGCTGTCGCCGCTTTCGAGGGCTGCTGGGGGTCGGGGGGGGACAGCAAAGTGGGTACTCGCCGCAGGCTCAGATTAGACCTCGCCATCTTGGGGGGGCTGCGATCTTCGAATCTGTCGCCACTTTCGAGAGCTGTTGCGGGGGCCACATAGTGGGCACTCGCCGCAGATTCATATTAGACCTCGCCATCCCTGGGGGGCTGCGATCTGCGAAGCTGTCGCCACGTTCGATGGCTGTTGGGACTTTCTCCATGCTGCTTCTGCCGCGATGGCTCCCCGCCCCCACAATTCCGTCAGTATCCTGCCCGTCGTGCCCGCCCCCGTTCTTCTCCAAAGTTGGGCCCCAATCCTCGTCCTGTCGATCGCTGTCCTGTGAGTCGTGCAACATGCGCGCATCCCATTTAGTTTGCACAACAAATCGCCGCGCCTGCACTGTTCCTGCCAATATGGGCCTACGCCTCGTTCCACTCGATGCAAATGAGTTGGGTACGTCGCAGGGTCATGCCTTTTTCGCCTCAGATGAGCTTCCGAGGCCGCAAGACTACTCCCAAAAGGCCCTCAAGAGGCTCCGACGGGACCGAATGGGTACCCAAAAGGCCGCAGGACGCTCACACGTGCGGGTCTGGGGACAGCTCGGGCTCTTGCCCGGCGTGCGCCGACGGGGCATAGACTCTCGCCAGCAACGGCATGGGAGTGCAGGGTGTCATGCCGTCGGTAGACCAGGACTGCGGGTGGACCGGAACAGGATGCTCGTGCATGAGGTGACGATCGCTTCTTCGGCGGAGCTGCTGACACTGGCCACGATGCCGCTGGCATACGAGCCTGGAGCAGGTAGGGGGCCACATGCGAACCCTACCCCTACCCCCCACGACTTCTGAGGGGGAGGGTGGGGGTCACTTCGCTCGGGAGCTCCCGAGCGCAGTGACCCCCCCCCCCCCCCCCCAGAAATCGTGGGGGCTAGGGGTAGGGTTCGCCCGTGGCCCCCTACTGGAGCAGGGCGACCGCGAGCAGGGCTCCGCCTGGCGTCGCACGAGGCGACGTCGGCGCGCCGAGCACCGGCGGCGCGGCAGCGCCGCCGCAGCTGCTCCACGGCCCCGACCACCCTCCCGGGGGGTCGGGCGCGGGAGGCCCCCGCGCCGCGGCGACGGGCGCGTTTGGCCGGGCCACCGGGGGCACGAGCAACTGTTTTTGTAGATCAGCGGATGCACCCAGACCTCCTCGCGTCGGGACAAAAATCACGACGGGAGGTTTTTCGCCATTTTCCGCCTCTGGGGGCCCTTACCGGCCCTCGGGACCGTCAAAAAACGACTCAGGACGAAAAACCGGTCCCGGGGAAGGGGTCCCGACCTCTGGGGGTCGCGTCGTGAAAAAATCATGACGTCGGGGGTCTGGGCAGTGGGGGCGCGCATCAAGAAACCATGTGCTTTTCGTCAGGGTAAGCTGGGTTTCTTCGCTCCTCGCGCTGCGCGGTGACTCCCCGCAGCCGTTGGAAGGAGCTGCTGCATTCGGGGTGCTCCAGGTTTCCCCCCCCCCCTGGTGCCTCTCGCGCAGGGGTTCTCAGGGTTGGGTTTCCTGCGAGGGTTTCTTGCGGCCGCGCCCGCACTGTAGGGGCTGGCAGAATTCGTTTAGGGGATTTCGCCAGTTCTTGGGCTCGAACTGTCTTGCAGGCGTGTCTCGCTGGCTGTTTAGCCGGGGCTCGAAGTTCACGCTGAGGCCACAGGTACCAACCAAGGCTCGATGCCAGTCGCGTGCCCGTGCCAGACCATCGTCGTGTGGAGAAAAAGAGGCCGCAGGAAGCTCGCAAGAATCCCAACACGTTCACACCTGGCCGCGTGGTTGCCGCATGATGTATTGCCTGCGTCAGCCAGGCAGCAGTTCGATCAGCTTGGATCAAGGCTTCATGAGCAGAGTTGTATAACACGTTTATCTTTCTGGGGTCACAAGGCGTACTGGCTCGCATTTGGCGTACCCATTTCTTGTTGGACCGTGCTTGGCGGTTTGGCGTCCCCATTCTGCTTTTGCTTGTTTGGCGCGCGTTTGGCGCTCCGAGAGACTTCAGAAACAGCCCAAAGACGCAGAGAGCCCCCCAAAATGCCCAGGACAGTCCAGGAGGCCCCTCCGAGACAGCCCAAGATTGATGAACAACAGCTCTAGATGCCATCAGGACGGCCGAATGTGTTCCCAAGAGTGCGCGATACGTGTTCAAGAGGCCCCCGAGAAGCCTCTCGAGGCTTAAAGTCCTCCAACATCCAATTGGCATTCTTATATGTGTTGCGTGTCTGACTGTTTCGTCTCAGATAAGATTCCGAGGTCTGAAGATGGTTCCCAAGACGCTCCGAGAGGCTCCGACAAAACAGACTGGGCCCCCAAGAGGCCCCAATCAGCTTACAAGATGCCTCCCCAAGAGTTTCCCAAATGTCAAAAACATTCCGACATGGCTTAAGAGAGCCCCCCGAAATGCCCAATGCCCAGGACAGTCCAGGAGGCACCCGAGATGGCCCAAACTTGTTCCAAGTGTCTAGTGTGTGTGTGTGTGTGTGGATTCGCATACGTGTATATACATATATCGGCGCACCGGGTCCGGGGGCCCGGGGCCGGGACCTCGACCACAAATGTGCACCCCGGGGGGCCCGGAGGCTCGTCGGGACTTGCTGGAGGCCTCCCCAGTCAGACAAGACGGCCCAAGAAGCGCCCAAGACGGCCCAAGAAACTTCCAAGAGGCCTCCAAGAGGGCTCCGAGATGCTGAAGATGGCCTCCAGACGTCCAAGGACGCCCCCAAGAGGCCCCAAGAAGCCTCCAACATGCGTCCCAAGAGGGCCCCTAGACGCAAAAATTGGCCCATTCCCTTCGTAAAACGTACATTTTCAACAAAGTTGTCTTTTGGGCTTTCCGACGTTACAGGACGGCCCAAGAGGCGCCCAAGACCGCCCCAAGACGGCCCAAGAAGCTTCCAAGAGGGCCCCAGGACAGCCCAAGAGGGCCCCAAGACGGCCCAAGAGGCGCCCAAGATGGCCCAAGAGGGCCCCAAGACGGGCCCAAGAGGGGGCCCAGAGGGGGACCACGAACCGCAAGCTCGAGCCTTCCGCCCCAAGAGGCCGCCAGGAGGCCCCCAGGAGGCCCCTCAAGAGGCCCCAGGAGACCCCAGACGTCCAAGGACGCCCCCAAGAGGCCCCAAGAAGCCTCCAACATGCGTCCCAAGAGGGCCCCCAGACGCATGGAGGTTTTAGAACGGGTTGAGCAGAGGGGCCATACGTGTGATGTTGGGCAAATGGAATATTCTGCCTGTCTCTGGTGTGCACTCGCCAACACCCTGCTGCCTATCTCCGCTCAAGTTGTTTCTGGTCTGAAGCAGGCCTGATGGGCCCCTCGCCGGCCCTCATCAGTCACATCCAGACCGCGGGCGTGCGCGCTCTGGAGTTGCTGGCGCTGCGGCAGTCGATCATCTCGGGGGTGCCGCCGTGCCCCGCGGTGTCGCTGGCGTGCCCGCCGGCGAACCTGACCTGCCCGCCGCAGGTCTGCCCCGCGCTGACGTGCTCACCGCCGCCCTGCCCTCCCCCAGCGTGCCCGGCGCCGCTGGTCAACCTCTCCTGCCCGCCTGCAGGAGGGATCGTGGGCGCCGGCGAGTTCGACTCACCCTCGGCGTGCTGGGGGACTCTCGCAGGGATCGCGGCTGGGCTGGGGCTCGGCCGCGCCGCCCCGCGCCGCGGGCGTGCTGCTGCCGCCGAGAGAGATGATGATCGCGCACCGTCCCCTGCCCCCGCTCGCCGCGGAGGGGGAGTGGTGCGCTGACTTGGCGGTCGGCACCCTGGTCCGGGTCTCCTACACCGGGGAGACCATGGACCACACGAGGGTCGTGCTGTGGCCCAGTCGCCGCCTGGACCAGAGGCGGCGGATGAGGGGGCGGCACGCCTACTGGGTGCTCTCCGCGGACGGCGACGTCTGGGAGGAGGACCTGAGCGGGAGGAATGCGGCGACCGGGCCGTCGGGCGGGTCGCTGCTGGACCAGGCGACTGGGGATCCGCCCGACGGCCGCCGCCTCTATCGGTTCCGTGCGCGGCCCAGCCTGGACGAGGTCGTGGAGCTGGCGGCGGAGTGCCGAGCCACGATGCTCAGGCGTGGGCAGGCCGAGTCGGAGGCGCCGACGAGAGTGGTGCTGGCCGACGGGGCGGTGCGCCCCGGCCACGACCACTTCCCGTGGCTCGTGGCCCCGCGCCCTTGGGTGCTGACGGAGCCGCTCCCTGGCATGCCAATCGGGACCGTGGTGGATCCGCTCCCGGTGGGGGCGCTGCGCGACGGGAGCCGGGCCCTCGGCTTGCTGCCGAGCTGCGGCCGCTGGGCGAGGCTCGAGCAGGTGGACGAGGGCCAGATCGTCGAGTGGGCTGCCAAGAGGACGAAGGAGCTGCTGCTCGACCTCGGCGCGGAGCCCGACGCCATGGGCGCCGCGGAGCCGGTCGGCGGGACTGAGACCCCGCCGCTGGGGCGAGAGGCTCGCTCGGCCGGAGGCGACCGCCTGGGCGAGAAGCTGGGGCTAGCCGCCGAGGAGCCCGCCGAGTCGGCCGCAGGGAAGAACGACGCCTACGGCGACGCGCGCACGCTGTGGGTCGACTGGGACGAGCAGGGCGAACGCAGGAAGGAGTTCAAGCGAGCGGTGGCTGAGAGCTCGGATGTGAAGTGGGACCATCATAGGCTGCCCGCCGATCGCACCTGCCTCCACACGTGCAAGATGATGGTGAACTTGAGCGGGTCCCCACACGCGTGGCTGGAGCGCTTTCTCAGGGAGAAGGGGATAGCTTCTACGGATCGAGTCGCGCACGAACTCCGAGTGTTGTGCGACATCTTGGAGGAAGCTGGAGAGTTTGACCAGATCAACCTCGGAGGACTGGCCTGCTTGGAAGTGGCCGCCCTCCGGCTGAACCTGCTGGTGGACGCGCACAAGAGCGGGTCGGCCTCGTACTCGAACGCGAAGTACCTCTCGCCGCTGACCGAGGTGGACCAGTTGATGGCTCCTGGCTTGCGGTCTCACGTGTCGAGGCGCGCCAAGGAGGAGTACGAGCTGATGCAGGGCGACAAGAGGGCCGAGGCGGTCGCTGCTGGTGCGGCTGGCGCGCGGGTTCCACCGCGCGAGGGGGCCGATGATGCGGCCAAGGGTGGCAAGGGCGGCGGCGGGGGCGGCCGGGGTAATAAGGCCCGGGCGCGTGCCCTCGCGCCGCCCGTGCAGGCATGACGGACCAGTCTCAGCCGGCGGAGTGGGCCCCTGCCGGCTGGGCTAACACATCGGCCCGGCGAGCGCCTCTGGCCCTGGCGAGCGGGGATAGGGACCTCTTCCCCCTCCCTCGCCTGGCCAGGCCGCCCGCCAGCAGGGGCGGCAGCCGCGCCCGGATTGCTGGCGCTCGGCGGCGGCGCGAGCACGAATTGGTGAACGGCGCGATCGACTCTCTCAACTGGCTTGCTGGATGGGAGCCTGACGACGTGGGCCCGCCGCGCTCCCTGGACGCCATGGGGGGCAAGCATGCTGGGATCGTACAGTGGGTGGCCAGCGAAGCTCTGCGGCGCCAAGCCGCAGCTCCCAACCCCTGTCCGTCCCAAGAGGCATCGCTCAGTGCGTTGCTCAAGGGGTGCTCGATCTACGACACGTCGGGCTCCCCGAGGAACCTGGCCTCCTTCGTCCGCGAGCGCGTGTCCTTGCCCCCTTCGGTTGTCGGCTGCTTCCAGGTGGACGATATCGTGGGCGAGGCCGGCCGCACCTACCTGAAGGAGAATCAAAAGCGTATGAGGCGGCCGATCGAGGAGATCGATTTTGACAACTTGCCGACTCCCTATTTTGACCCGCTGCTGAAGCGGAACAAGAAGATGTACCACAACTTTTTGAAGGACCTCTCGTCCCGCGGGCTCTTGCTTGCCACCTTGTCTCCCGCAGAGCAGGCTGGCCTGTTCTTCGTGAAGAAGGCCGACAGCGACAAGATGCGCATGATCGTGGATGCGCGTCGGGCGAACGCGTGGTTCGGCGTGCCCCCCAGCGTCCAGCTCCTGTCGTGCGAGGGGTTCGGCAGGGTGGAGGTGAAGCTCCCAGAGGGCGTCGCCTTCGGCTCGGCGCGGGGCGAGGAGCTGCTGAACGGCTTCAAGCTCTTCTTGGGCATGACGGACGTCAAGGACTGCTTCTACAGGATGCGCATCCCGGTGAGCCTGGCGAAGTTCTTCTCGCTGCCCGCCGCTCCGGCTCACGTCCTGGGCCTGGAGGGGCACGAGCTGGAGGGGACGAGGCTGGGCTGCGACACCCTCGTCTTCCCCTGCATCGGGGCTCTCCCCATGGGATTCTCTTGGTCCCTCTTCCTCGCCCAAGACGCGAACGAGGAGAGGGTGGTCCGGTCTGATCCGTGGCCAGGGGGAGACGTGGCAATCTCGGAGCGGGTCCTGATGAGTGATCGCGGACCTCCGCTC